CAGCTCTGTTGCCTAGGGCTGGGGTGCAGTGGTGTGATCATAGCTCACTGCAGCCTCAACCTCCCAGGCTCAAGGGATCCTCCCACCTCAGCCTCCTGAGTATCTGGGACCAGAGGCATGAGCCACCACACCCAGCTAATTTTTTTTTTTTTTTTTTTTTTTTAGGCTGAGTCTCTCTCTGTTGCCAGGCTGGAGTGTAGTGGTAAGATCTGGGCTCACTGCAACCTCTGCCTCCCAGTTTGAGCGATCCTCCTGCCTCAGCTTCCTGAGTAGCTGGGACTATAAGCACATGCCACCACGCCTGGCTAATTTTTTGTATTTTGAGTATAAATGGGGTTTCACTATGTTGACCAGGATGGTCTTGATCTCTTGGCTTCCTGATCAGCCCACCTTGACCTCCCAAGTGCTGGGATCACAGGTGTTAGCCACTGTGGCCAAATTTTTTGTTTTTTTTTTTAAGAGATGGGGGTCTCACTGTATTGCTCAGGCTGGCCTTAGACTCCTGGCCTCAAGTGATCCTCCTGCCTTGGCCTCCCTATGGATTGGGTGTATAGGTGTGAACCACCATGCCTGGCCCCGATTTTTGCTGTCATTTGACTTAACCCTTTATTCCCCAGTCCCTCATTTCAGCTCTCCTTCCTCACTAGGATATCCATCGCATAACCCTGACCCAGCTCCTTTCTCCAAGCTCCTCACTATATGCCCCGTTTGCCCACTCATTTCCTTAAACTACCTCAATCCTCAGAGCCTTTAGAATGTAAGGAGACAGGCATTAAAATAGACACTCCGGGAAATGCTATCGAAACACGTGCTGTAAGGAACAAGGGCTAGGATGGTACAGAACTGATCCCAGAGGAAACTGAGTTCACACTTGTGTTTCATTCAGGACAGGCAGTGTTGACCAGGCTATTTTGCTTCCTAGGGCTGCCATCAAAATATCACTGTGGGCAGCTTAAAACAACAGGTGAAGTTGGAAATCAAGGTGTTGGGATTTTTTTTTTTTTTTTTTTTTTGAAACTGGGTCTCACTCTGTCGCTCAGGCTGGAGTGCAGTCGCACGATCTCGGCTTACTGTAATTCTGCCTCCCAGGTTGAAGCGATTCTCCTGCCTCGGCCTCCCAAGTTGCTGGGATTACAGGCAACCACCACCATGCCTGACCATTTTTTGTGTTTTTAGTAGAGACAGGGTTTCACCATGTTGGCTGGGCTGGTCTCAAACTCCTGACCTCAAGTGATCCAGCTCCTTGGCCTCCCAAAGTGCTGGGACTACAGGCATGCGCTACAGTGCCTGGCCACCAAATTAATTTCAAATTGTTGCTCCTGGCCAGGCATGGTGCCTCACGCCTGTAATCCCAGCATGTTGGGAGGTCAAGGCAGGTGGATCATGAGGTCAGGAGTTTGAGACCAGCCCGACCAACATGGTGAAACCCCGTCTCTACTAAAAATACAAAAATTAGGTGGGTGTCATGGCATGTGCCTGTAATTCCAGCTACTTAGGAGGCTGAGGCAGGAGAATCCCTTGAACCTAGGATGCGGAGGTTGCCTAGGAGGCAGAGGTTGCAGCGAGCCAAGATCGTGCCACTGCACTGCAGCATGAGCGACAGAGCAAGACTCTGTTTCAAATAAATAGATAGTTGATCCCAGCTGCTGTGTGGACCCTGGAGTGGATTCAGAGACAAGGGTGGAGGCTGGCACTGTTCTGTAGGGGAGGAACAGTGGTGGCTTGGCGGGTGGTGGCCCAGAAAATAAACCTGTCATTTTATTCAGTCAACAAATGTTAACTGAGCACCTACTGTGTGCCAGCTATTCTTCTAAGTACTGAGGGATACAGCAGCAAACAACACCAAGTCCCTGCCTGGTCTGAAATAGTGAGATCTGGGCGGGTGACTCATGCCTATATTCCCAGCACTTTGAGAGGCCAGGGCGGGTGGATCACTTGAGGTCAGGAATTCAAGACTAGCCTGGCTAAGATGGTGAAACCCTGTCTCTACTAAAAAAATATAAAAAGCCGGGTATGATATCGCATGCCTGTAGTCCCAGCTACTTGGAAGGCTGAGGCAGAAGAATCGCTTGAACCCAGGAGGCGGGGGTTGCAATGAGCTGAGATCATGCCACAGCACTCCAGCCTGGGGGACAGAGTAAGACTCTGCCTCCAAAAAAAAAAAAAAGATGAAAAGAAATAGGAAGGTCCTTCACTGAGCAGATGATATTTGAGCAACACCCTTGTGAGGGAGGAACCACATGGCTATCGTGGGGAAAGTGTTAAGGAGACACCCAGTGTGCAGGTGCCGTACTTGAGGCTTGCAGGGAGGTAGGTGGATCAAGTCAGGCCGGAGTGTTGGCATCTCAGTGGATGGCCCCCTTTTCTCTCCCAGGGGTCTGTGAGGTCAATCGCCAGAACCGAGCTGGCTACTCACCTCTCATGCTGGCTGCACTCACCTCTGTGGGGCGCGAGAAGGAGGACATGGCTGTGGTCCAGAGACTCTTCTGCATGGGCAATGTCAATGCCAAGGCCAGCCAGGTGCGTGGATGCCCTCACTGCGGCTCAGCCAGGAGTCACTTCCACTTTGGGAATCAGCCTGTGACCTCCCTTCCCTGAGCCTACCCCAGCCTGTCCCCATTTCTTCCCCACTCCCCAGACGGGGCAGACAGCCCTCATGCTGGCCATTAGCCATGGCCGAAAAGACATGGTGGCAGCCCTACTGGCATGTGGGGCTGACGTGAATGCGCAGGATGCAGATGGGGCCACAGCGCTGATGTGCGCCAGCGAGTATGGGCGCCTGGACACCGTGCGGTTGCTGCTCGCCCAGCCAGGCTGCGACCCTGCCATCCTGGACAATGTAAGACCCCATAATAGGGCTGGCATCTTGTGGGGACAGGACTATGGCTTGGCTCAGGAACCTTACTGTCCCTAACGTTCTTCAGGAGGGCACCAGTGCCCTGGCCATCGCCTTGGAGGCTGAGCAGGATGAGGTGGCTGCTCTGCTACATGCCCACCTGAGCTCAGGCCAGCCCGACACCCAGGTGAGCACAGCTCTCAAAGAAACAAACCTTCCCAGTTGCAAATTCAGTTTGGAGAGGATAGTAAATATGGCCCAGGCCTCCCTTTCTGCTCTCTCAAGGTAGCACCATGGGTATAGAACCAGTGTCTGGATTCTCCTATGTGGCTGGTTTTTTTTGGTGGTTGTTTTGGAGACAGGGTCTTACTCTGTAACCCTGAGCTCAAGGGATCCTTCTGCCTCAACGTCCTAACGTGCTGGGATTACCAGTGTGAAAGTGTCTGGCAGGGGTTGGAATTTGATATTAAAGCAGCAAAACCCCAGTGTGAGGCTGATGCTACCCCAAGTCGTGAGACTGAGGCCTCTAAGGGCGAAGTAACCTGAGGTCACAGACCTAGCTAAGACCTTTCATGCATTTCCCTGGGCTCCTGTTACCTACTCCCAGGGAGGCTCTTATCAAAGGAAAAGGAGCCCTTTGCCATCAGGCAGAGTGGGGAAGGGGGGGGCCAGAGCTTCAGAACTGGAGACTGGGTGAGTTTGCAGAACCAATGATTAGCCTCCAACACCACTATACTCCGATGGGAAGTGCCAGGCTGTTTCAGCACTTTCATAATCGAAGTCATCTAATCAGCCCACTTATCCTGTACAGGCTGATCCCAAATTACCATGGCTCCACTTACATTTATTTATTTTTGAGACGGAGTCTTGCTGTTGCCCAGGCTGGGGGTGCAGTGGGGTGATCGACGAAAGCTTGCTGCAACCTCCACCTCCCGGGTTCAAGTGATTTTCCCATGTCAGCCTCCCAAGTAGCTAAAACTACAAGCACATGCCACTATGCCCAGCTAATTTTTTTTTTTTAAAGACAAGAGTCTTGCTGTTACCCAGGCTGGAAAGCAGTGGCACAAGATGGGGTTTCACCATGTTGGCCAGGCCAGTCTCAAACTTCTGACCTCAGGTGACCGCCCACCTCAGCCTCCCAAAGTGTTGGGATTACAGGTGTGAGCCACCATGCCTGGCACCACTTATAATTTTTTGACTTAATGATAGTGTGAAAGCGATGTGCACTTAACTGAAATCATACTTCTCCAGAGTATTCAATATATTACTGAGACATTCAACACTTTAGTAAAATAGGCTTCATGTTAGATGGAGTTTCCCCAACTATAGGCAGACGAGTTCTGAGCAGGCTTAGCATGGACTAAGCTAAGCTGTGATGTTTGGTAGTTTAGGTGTATTAAACACATTTCAACTTGAAATATTTTCAACCTATGATGGATTTACTGGGATGTAACTCATAAGTGAAGAGGAACACTTGCACTAGCCCCACTGGGAGATGTGGGAACAAAGGTCAAGCACCTCTTCCAGCTCAGAACAGGCAGAAGTAGGATTCCAACCAGGCAGTGTGGCTTCCGGGTAAAAGAACCTCCACTACGTGAGGCTGGGGGGGAATCCCAAGTTTCCTGCCTGAAAGAGATGGCAGCCTCAGCCCCTGACCCCCCCTCCTTCCCCCTTTCTCTAGACACAGTCATCCCCTGGCTCCCAGAGTGCCACAGCTGGTGAAGGAGAATGCAGTGACAATGGGGAGAATGCCCAGGCTCAGTGAGCTGCCCAATCTGGCTCACTACACCTGGCTGTGGGAAGATCTCAGTCACCTCAGCCTTTGGCGCACAGAACGGTCCAGGGTACTCTGCTCAGAGGCTAACACCGGCCGAAGAGAAAGGCGGTTTCAGTTGGGGTGACTGTGGCAGGAAGGGGCTCACTCTGACCCCACCGAGGTGAAGTGGGGACCAAGGAGTGATACAACCCCGGTCCACCCACTCTCTGAAACGTCTTTGCTAATAAAACACTCCTACTACGCTTGTGTTGTTTGGGGTAAAGGGTGCATATATATAAATACGACCATTTCCAGAGCGCGGAAGGATCAGTGACCACCTGGGAGCCACGCAAGAAACATACTAAAGAAACAGAAACCCTAGTCGCATAACCCAGGCAAGAACCCGAGTTAACTTGTATCGCAAACGCTTTATTTAAAGGTCCATCTCAATTTACATGTGGCAGCACAAAATAAAGGACCAGATCGTGACACACCATTTCCATCTCAAGTGGTCGAATCCAACATTCAAAACCCTGTAAACAGACCCAAACGTGATATGCTGACAGGCTCCGCAGCAACTGGCAAACTCCCACCTCCCTCTTGCCAGTCTCTGTAGACTCTCTGCTTCCCAAGCCCTCTCACCCTGAGCTTAAGGAAGCCTCCCTTCCTCTTTGCACTAACCAGCGAGCAGCCAAACTCAGCGCAACCTCCGGGCCTCTCGCTCGGACTCCAACAGGGTCAGCACGTCGCCCTCGCGCACCGGGCCTTTTACGTTGCGGATGATGGAGCGGCTCGTATCGTCCATAAATTCCACGCGCACCTACGGATCCCCACCGGAGAGTGGGGGAAGGCGTCAGGGCTGGCCGCGGGGTGGGAAGCAGTTATGAATTCAGAGAACGTGTCAGGGCCAGATCATAGACCCTTAAGGAGCCTCCAGAGCCCTGGGATGAAAGAAGCATCAGTTCCCGGATTCCGGCTGGCAGGGGTTAAGACAGGATAGGGGTCCTATCAGGGTTTAGGGCCCCAGGAAGTCGGCCAAATGCCCCCACCCGGTTACCTGCGTGCACTGTCCCTGAGAACCGGTCCTGCCCAGGACCTTGGTCACCTGGTGGAAAGAAGCTGGGTTTAGACCTGGCCCGCTCGGCTCATCTACTCCCTCCCGCTGCCCCCAAATTCGGGCCCCCATCTCACCCTGGCCAACTTGATAGGCTGCACACGACTGGTATCCATGATGGCGGCTCGGCAGCGGTCTGGCGGAGAGGAATCACGTGCTCCGGGGAGAGCCTTTATAGTACGTCCTAGCTCCGCCCACTACCGCCTCGCGAGACCACGCCGCGTAATTCCCAGTAGCCCCTGCGGTGGAGACGTCAGCGGCGGCGCTCTTCAGAAGCGCGGACGGAAGATGGCGTCCGCCACCCGTATTGTCCAGCGGCTGCGGAACTGGGCGTCCGGGGTGCGTGGGGCGGACAGGGCCGCGTCATGGAGGGGCTTCGGGCTCCGTGTGTCCCGAACCTTCTCCTGCTACTCACCTCCCTCCTAAGCCGGCACCCTTCGCTCTCCGCGGAATCTCCCTGGGAACCCCCAACTCATGACCCCTTCAGCCCGGGACCCTCTCCTCGCCGGGGACCCACTCAGGCGTGGGATTTCCCCAATCCAGGACCTTCTTAGCCTTGGATCTTGTGGGCCAGGACCCCGGCTTTCACCTTTAGGGCCCACATCCCTTTCCCCGAGTGTTCCTCCTCTGCCTTCCCTTAAAATGCGCATCCCCGGGCCATCCCTGGTCCCTCGCACTCTCCTTTTCTCTCTCCCTGAGTGCCTTGCAGACCGACCTCCCCTCTGCTCTTCCCACAGCATGACCTGCAGGCGAAGCTGCAGCTGCGCTACCAGGAGATCTCCAAGCGGTGAGCAGGCCCCGCTCGCTGCCCAGCCTCTGGCTTTGTCCTTTCTCCACGAAATACAAGATCCGTGTTTCTTTAGATCCCTGAGGCGCAGGGCTAACCTCCTGCCACCAGTTCCTTGCCAGGCTTTGGAGGCAGAGGTTTTTTTCTTTAACCTTCCTGAACTCCGGAGACAGCTCTCCTGGAACAGCGAGGCCGGACGTGCATTCTGAGTGGGAATCAGGCTAGATTTACAATACTCAGTAAGAGGTCCAGAGAGACTAAATCATTTGCCTGAATTCACTCAGAAGTTAGAAAGTGACAGCTGGGATTTGAACTCAGAAGTGTCCTATTTCAAACTCATTTCTATTAAAAAATTAGTGGATGTTTACAAGCCTCTGGCATATATGACCTCAGCCTTGGATTTAACATTGTGAACCAGGAAAGTTCTTATTCACATTTTCTTTCATGGACCCCACATACTAGGGAGAAATGTAGCAGGGAAACAAAGCAGGTAGTATTGTTCTGGAATGCTTTGAAGACAAAACGAGTGGAAGCTGGAGGGCCGCTATGTAAAGTCAGGTAGTTGGGAAAGATCTTTCTTTGGGAATTGACAGTTGAGTCACCTGAGTGATGAGAAGGAACCATTCAAAGAATAATTATTGAAAAAACATTTTGGCAAGGCATGGTGTCTCAAACCTGTAATCCCAGCACTTTGGGAGGCTGAGGTGGGCGATCACCTGAAGGTCAGGAGTTTGAGACCAGCCTGGCCAAACATGATGAAACCCCGTCTCTACTAAAAATACAAAAATTAGCTGGGCATGGTGTCATGCACCTGTAGTCCCAGCTACTTAGGAGGCTGAGGCAGGAGAATTGCTTGAATCCGGGAGGCAGAGGTTGCTGTGAGCTGAGATTGCACCACTGCACTCCAGCCTGGGCAACAGAACAAGACTGTCTCAAAAAAAAAACAAAAAAACAAACCATTCTGAGTAGAGAGAACAGGAAAGGCTAAGACTGTCAGGCTGGAGAGAGACTGAGTAGGAAGGAGGCCATTATAAATGGAACCCATTGAGGGAAAGGGATAATGGTATAATCTATGAAGTCAAAGGGGTAGGCATAGGTAAGGCAGTCATTGAGGGTTTAATGAAAGGAAAAAATATAGCATGCATGGCTGAGTTAGATTGCATATGAGAATTTTGCATAGCAAAAAAGATACATCACACCGATTTGCCTCTCACTTTATGCTCTTCCCAAAAGGCTTTCAAGCCAAAAATCCCTCAGCAGTAATTATGTGTAAGGCAAAAAAATTAAGAACTCTGGCTGGGAAGACATTAAATGAGTCTCTGGAATATTGTAAAAGATATATATGCAAGGTTCTATCTTTCCCCTGGATTTCTTTCTGGCTCCTTGCTACAGGCTCTGAGAACAAGCTTTCATACAGGAGTTTCCCCTTGAATATTGGAAAAAGATACATTAAAATCTGGTTATGAATCACAAAAAAAAAAAATGTGAATGCCTGTATGTTGTGACTAATTCCAAATATTAGAAGTGTTGAATTTTTTTTGTTTTCAACTTTAATATTAAGTTCTGGGATACATTTGCAGTTTTGTTACATAGGTAAACATGTGTCACTGCGGTTTGCTGTAGAGTTCAACCCATCACTTACGTATTAAGCCCAGCATCCTTCAGGCTATTATTTATTATGCTCTTCCACCATCCCGCACTTGGTTTTCTATCAGAGTAGTTGGGCCAGTTGAGGAAATGGCTTTGTAAAATTTTTGGATGAGGGTGCCCTCTAGTGATTCATCTGGATGCTTTATTTAGCTTTTTTTTTTTTTTTTTTGAGACTTGGTCTTTGTCACCCAGGCTGCAGTTCATTGGCACAATGATAGCTCACTGCTGCAGCCTCGAACTCCCAGGCTCAAGTGATCCTTCTGTTCCAGCCTCCCAAGTAGTTGGGACTACAGGCACATGTTACCATGGCTGGCTAGTTTTTAAAATTTTTTATAGAAATGGGTCTTACCATGTTGCCCAAGATAGTCTTAAACTTCGGGCCTCTGGCCGGGTGTGGTGGCTCACATCTATAATCCCAGCACTTTGGGAAGCCAAGGCACAGAGATCATGAGGTCAGGAGTTCAAGACCAGCCCACCCAAAATAGTGAAACCCTGTCTCTACTAAAAATACAAAAATTAGCCAGGCATGGTGGCACGGGTCGTAGTCCTAGCTACTTGGGAGGTTGAGGCAGGAGAATTGCTTGAATCCAGGAGGCGGAGGTTGCAGTGAGCCCAGATTGCAGCACTGCACCCCAGCCTGGGCAACAGAGTGAGACTCCATCCCAGAAAACAAACAAACAATTCCTTCCTCCTTGGCCTCCCAAAATGTTCAGATTACAGGTATGAGCCACCATATCCAGCCTCCTTAAGCAAAGTCTTTCACATATTATATTGCTTTTAATATTAAACATCTTTTACTTTGTGTTTATTTATTTTTTTTCTAAGACGGGGTTTCACCATATTGGTCAGGCTGGTCCTGAACTCCTGACCTCAGGTGATCCGCCCACCTTGGCCTCCAAAGTGCTTGGATTACAGGCGTGAACTACCACGCCCGGCCTGTGTTTCTTATTTTTAAAAAATACAATGACTCACACTTGTTTTAAGAAAAAGGCCAGGAGTGGTGGCTCACACCTGTAATCCTAGCACTTTGGGAAGTCAAGGTGGGAGGATAACCTAAGGCCAGGAATTTGACACCAACCTGGGCAACATAGTGAGACCCCCATCAACTCCACACAAAAAAAAAAAAAAAAAAAAAAAAAATTAGCCAGATCTGGTGATGTGTATCTGTAGTTCCAGCTACTTCAGAAAAATTAGCTGGATGTGGTGATGTGCACCTGTAATTCCAGCTACTCGAGAGGCTGAGGTGGGAGAATCACTTGAACCCCAGAGGTTGAGGCTTCAGTGAGCTATGATCACACCTCAAACGATCATATGATTGCATATATTATCCAGGCTGGAGTACATATGATCATTGTCTCGAAAAAATACTAAATTCTGGCAAAACAGTTCGCAGACAAAAACGTGACTTAGAAACATGGCTAAGTGCAAACAGATCGATTTACAGTTTTTCCTGTCTTCTCTTCCCCCTCTCTTTGGAAAGCCACTTTTTTGTTTTGAGCTTTTTTTTTTTTTCTTGAGATGAAGTCTCACTCTGTTGCCCAGGCTGGAGTGTAGTGGCGTGATCTCAGCTCTCTGCAGTCTCTACCTCCTGCCACCATGCACGGCTAATTTTTGCATTTTAGTAGAGATGGGATTTTGCCATGTTGGCCAGGCTGGTTTTGAAATCCTGACCGCCAGGGATCTACCCGCCTTGGCCTCCCAAAGTGCTGGTATTACAGGCATGATTTACCATGACTGGCCTTGTTTTGAGCATTTCCTTTTAAGGCCTCAGGCTTCCCGGGAAAAGCAGTCCAGGGTTTAGTTCAAGCCAAGACCGAACTCTGTTCACCCCTCTCTGGGCTCCAAAGAGTTGTTGCCTGGCCACATGGTGGCAGGAAATGTAGAGATCTGGACAGGCTCCAAGGTCAAGGTGTTCTTTGAGTAATGGGCCTTAATCCCAGCAGGGTTCTCCAAAGACTTCCTGAGATAACAGGAAACGCACGGCGCCATAGCCTGGCCTTAGGGGAAAAAGCCACTTAGACTGGGCTAAATCAGGTGAGGCTGGCTGCCAAGCATAGGGCAAGGGAACATGTCCCGGGCCTTGGGAGCCTCACAAAGGGTCCGCTGTACCCTCTTGCTTATTCAGGATAGGTGGGGTGCCTAGGGCTGCCATCTGCTTCTGGTCCCAGGACCCCTCCCCAGGCATATGTCCCTGCCAGTGTACCAAGGGACATCCCCAGCCTGTGACATCCCATGGCTGGCTGTGGGTCCCTGAGCTGACAGGGGCCCACAGTGGGACTGTGACAATGACTGTCTCTTTGCTTTAATGCGATCTTTTTTTCCCTCAGAACTCAGCCTCCTCCCAAGCTCCCTGTGGGTCCCAACCACAAGCTCTCCAACAATTACTATTGCACTCGCGATGGCCGCCGGGAATCTGTGCCCCCTTCCATCATCATGTCCTCGCAGAAGGTGCTGGTGTCAGGCAAGCCAGCAGAGAGGTGAGGATCTCCAGTGTTGCTTACCAGAGCCCCCACAGCCCCCTCCTGCGACCCACTCCCTCTCCCCAGCTTGTGGAAAGGGCGCTTGTCAAGATCCTACTTAGTAAGCATCAACTATGTCAGGAACTATGCTGCTGGGAGATTTTTGTCCAAGAGCTTATTTACTTGTGTTTAGAGACAGTCTTGCTCTGTCGCCCAGGATGAAGTGCAATGGTGCAGTCATCGTTCACTGCAGCTTTGAACTTGGGCTGAAGCGATCCTCCCCACCTTCTTCGGCCTCCTGAGTAACTGGGATTACAG